ATAAAAACTGAAAGCCAAAATGCATAGTTTTGGTGCAGGAGGATGTGTTTCAAATTATTAACACATAATAAATGTGGGCAAAACTATCAGTTGCAGAAAGTATAATTAAACATTTGTTTACAATATGATCACACAACCAGAAACATCTATACAACAGGAAAACCAATTCTCTTTTGACTATCTGAATTTGAATTGAAAACAAATTGTTTTGAAAAGAACAGATAGGCAAATGAACTCCTGCATGTAAACCCTGTGCTGAGTAGTCTTTCCATAGTTGTCTTGCCCACAGCCCATTAACAGGAGACCCTCACAGGCCCAATCTTTGCCTATGGGTAATGGGAGTTATGCTGCTTTATTATTGGTTAAAACTCTAGTGTCCTTAGTCTTTTTTTTCTCTCCCTCCAGTATAACAGATTCCTCCAGGCTAAAGCAATAAAGAGAGTAATTAGAATGCTAAAGACAGATGTAAATAAAGGGAATGAGACAGTGGTGAGGGATGAGGCGTCTAGGTCACACACTCTCATCAAAAACCCAGTTGGTAGCAAATGACACAACGTTCAGTGCCAGAGGCCTGGGGCTACGACTGCAAACCAGAGGACATAATGGACTAAATTATGGGCTCAATGGCTATGCATCTCAAAGCACCAATAAGGACACACACACACATACACACACACACACACAATCTCAAACCCAAAACACAGATCTACTGTATTATTAGATAAAATCTATCTAAATCATTACATGATGCACACACTTTATACAGTATACCATATCAAGACGCTATGCTATTATTAAGCACTATGTTCAGTAGTCACACCCCCACAGAAACAGTGTTAAGTGACTGCCTTGTTGATGGCCCCCCATTGATAATCCATTGAGGTTATGGACCATCGTTCTTGAATCTTTTTTTTTTAGAGCAACATAGGAGTACGTTTTGTCAAATCAACATCCGATTTCATTCTGGCATAATCTGAGGCTTTCACGAGAACTTCATTAATTCATTTCTCCATTTATTTAGAGAAATACACTTTAAAATGTGGAAAATAAAATGAGTATTAGTGGATTACAATGATGTCAGATTAATAAGTGAGAGTGTAAGACTGCAGCAAACATCAACACTAAACACTATACACTTGAGATTACATGCATGAAGAGGGGGCTGGGCTAATTAAAATATTTGCATTATTAAAAATACATTAACTACTAGAATGCCATCATATTTAACAACATGAGACATTAATGAATTAGCCAACCTTCAGTGATTAAATAAATCCTTCTTTATACTGGGCTTCAAGGGGAATTCCCGTGTGTCACAGACACAAGGATCAGGTCGGCAAAGCAGCAAGAATATTGAATGACCAAATATTCAAAATATATATAATCACTATTTTTTTCTTAACTTAAATAATGAATTTGATTTCAATTGAATTTCATTTCATGTCATGTCAATATATTCTAGAAAAAAAGCAGGATCAAAAATAATAAACAGCAATAGGTAGATTTGTGGATGACTTTAGTTTTGTGGTCTTGTATGTGGTGTTGCCGAGTTGAAAACTGTGAAACAGCATCTTGTTTCATGTGCGATAACTGTTGTATCTTGGAGATGATGATTTCATGAAAAACCAAAGAAGGGGGTTGGGTCTCATTATACAGAGTGACCACGACTCATCAGGGTATTCACAGGAAATTTTTAATTTTGTTAGTGTAAACTCCAGAGTTTTACAGTACAGAAACTGAGGCTATAGAGGACAAAAATCACATACACTCAGTATCCCATTAGCCTATTTTACACACTTTGGATTTTGTTAATGAGACCCTCTATAAGTTTCCCAAGCGTTCCACACAGAGTGCTTTATGTCTGTTCATCTCTTTTATGTCCTTCCATTTTGTGTGAGCCACAAATCACTACACTACACTCTGCACATTATGCAAAGAGGCATACTGTACACGAATGTAGTGTAGTGTGGGATATCAGTGCTACAGATTAATGATACGCTTTGTCAATAGCAGATGGTTATAATTACCATTAACTCTGCTACCTTGACAGTTTTTACTCTCCTTGTATATTGTATTGGTCATCCGATCCTGTCACAGGTTCATACTTCCAGGATTTAAAGTTGTAAATACATCCTATCCTTTCAAATGCTTGGAAAGTGGTGGATGATATGGATATTGATGTAAATCATGGTAAGATTTGTAAAGTTATTGGAAAATGAGAAACCTTGTAGGGATAAAATAACCAGATGGGAATGTCTCTTTTTGGCTAAAGATCTCAGACAGTTGACGAACAACAAAACGAATTATGCTCTCATATCACCCAACCTGATGTTATGGGTTTACGACACATACAAACATGTACAATAGTATGTTTTAAGCAACTGTTTTCATTTAGGCAGATGCATATAGAGGAGATGATCCATGTCCTAGATGTAACTACTGTCTGAAATCACTTTTATAAAGAAAAAAAAAAGAAGACACATATGGCTCAAACAAAACGTGCATTGTACGCTACATGGGATTCAGAACAGTACAATAGTCTAAATCATTAATTAATAAACATACATGTACAACCACGTCTTACTGAAAATCTCCAATCTTTTCCAGTCTCATGCTCATAACTTTGCTGGACCATTTGTGTGTACAAAAACCGTAATTGCTGTATTTCTGAAAGCATTTGAAGGCAGTCAGTTGTGGCATTATTCTGGGTAGATTGTTAGCTGCCAATCATGCTGAAATTAAGCCAGCAGACAAATTTCAGCCAGACATTCCCATTTAAGGACTGCTACCATAAAGCCATGGACTTTAAAGAAATATGGAGTAAGTATAGGCAGAAGGAGTTTCCTGCACATAATTATACATTTCCCTATTTTACTGAAAGTGTGTCAGAAAAACATACCAATACACAGTATTCAGTAGTTCAGAAAATTTCAAACCTATTTCTGCTTGACCATCAAGTCCACATTACAGGCGGTATGTCAACTTTTCAAATTAAATGAGAGGTATATAGCATTTTTATAGCCTATGACAAAAGTTACATGATCCTGCCATGCAAATACTTTGCCAGAAGTAATGTCTCAGCAAAGCAAGTTGCCACCCACCATATTAGATTACACTGTGCCGTTGAAATGTGTGCTTCGGAGGTGCCTTTGCAAAAGGTTGATTACTTTGGATATATTTCACCTGCCGCTCTGGGCTATTATTGCTTGAGATACAGACTATAGTCAGAACCCTGATGGTGCGATCCTGAATGGTCAACGTCCCTAGTAAAACCATATAAAGTGATTCAATGCGAACATAAAGAAATGTTAACGATCGTCAAAGACCTTTGTGTTGGATGGCTTTCCTTCCATTTACTCCTACTCTCTGCTGTCCTTTTTATTTCCTTCTCACTTTCCAAGAGCACTGAAAGTATGAGCATGTGCAGATAGCACTTTTTACACTAGAACATTTTGAGGAAATAATATATCTGATATTGACCAAAATAATAACAATCATCCAGAAAAAATAAACCCCGTTGCTGAAAATACCAAACATATATTCCCTCAGCATGTTTCTTTAAAATTGCTAATATTGACAGTGAGCTTTGCTGGGGAGATGCCTGTGTATCTCAGTGGCTGTGCTGTGAAATGTGGCAGACAGACATAGTTTCTGACCTCTATATAGCAATGTAGAAGGACCTCAACAGCTGTAAACAACACTGCAATCAGTGTCCCATCTGCTCCCATGTCCCACTTGTGTGGATGCCTTTTTGCCATTTCTTTCACCCTTTGCCAAGTGGCTGCCTCAGGACATCTAACCCAGAGAAAAGAGCTCATTTACCCAAGGAGGAAAGAAGCAAACTAGATTTCTGAGTGTGTTTGCTGACAGGGAAACTTGGTTGTGGCAGAATTGAACAGAGTTAGACGGATGATAATATGCAAAATATGCCACTTCACAAAAACAACAGTTCATCAAACTGCACAAAACATTATTTTTGTGATAAATGAATGTGAAAATCAGTGATCAACTATGATCGAGCAGCTAAGCAGCTATCAAAGCAGCTTTTGCATGTTGATTTAACCTCTATTAACCCCTGTTCAGGCTAATGATGCTTCGCAGGGATTATATGAAGTGGGCACTTCAGATACACCCTCTCCAAAGGTAAGTGGTGGGACTCCTGTTTTGTATAAGTAATAAGAGCCCACTTAGTGAATCTACAAATTTACCATGATACTAGTCATTTTGTAGAAAATACTGGTTATAAGACTATTCACATCTTTACGTATTTTTCTACTCAGATATGGTAACTAATTTGAAACCCTTTTTTAACGTGTGGAGTTTGTGACCACTAGGAGTGCTATGGAGTAGGAGTGAACGATTGTTGGAAAAAACACTGCGTTTTTTTTGACTGACATTGCAAATGCGATATGATTTGCAATCTAAGAGGGAATTTATACATCATTATTCTAATTGTCATTGAAAAATATATTTAAATGAGTAGTGTAGTAATGTAGTGTGAATTTTGCGGGGATCTGTACCAAACAAAGAGGTTTTCTTAAGTCTGTAGAATATGATGTGTAGCTCATGGCATCTCTGCAGCACAACAATATTTAATTTAAAATGGTGTTTTGAAACATATTGCCTTTAACAAATATTGTGCTTCCTGCTAGTGGAATTTGGTAACTTAACACCCCTTGAAAATTTTGTCTCAACTGACCTCTAGTGATTTAACTCTTTACCTTGCTGGAGTTATATAGATATAGATATAGAGCCGCTCTTTAGGATCCCATGATCATTGTTGGGTATGGTTACAGATTCTACAAGCACACTTCTGACCACTCCAAAACACACTAAGTTATGCTGTGTGGGATCACAGGTGAAACAGACTAGAGACTTTTAACCACAGAGGGCAGTGAAACATTGTTTTTCAGCCTGGTGTTCTGTAACACTATGCAGTTCGGTGAGAAATACTATATGTAAACATGAATATGTTTATTTACAAAAAAACTCCACAGGAATTGTTGAAGTATTTTTTAATTTTATTACACAATCTACGTCAATTGTTGGCATCAGAGCATTTATATTAAATCAACAGGAAATAGTGTGCGCCATGTTTTCTTATTCAAATTTTTTAGTTAAAGTCTGAAATGCAAGTGCTAGAAAGCTTCAATATATGCACATTAAGGCAAATAGACTATGAATCGGCAAAACATATTTGATAAGGATTTATTTATAATACTTATATATTATATTTATTTATTTTTCTCTTCACTTAACACTTTGTGAAAACAACATCAAGACAAAGATAACATACAACAAACATAACAAAAAATTACAAAGATAGTACAAAACAAAAAAAAACTGACAAAGTAAAACTCAAAGTACAAACACTATCAAGAGGGGCTCATAACATACTGAAAAAAATCAGATAATTTTGTGTCTTCAAAATTTTTAATTTCGTCCTGGGAGACAGCTGTGAGGTTTTCTAAACTGGAAAGTTCAGTTAGCAAATAAAGCCAGTGTTTGGTGGATAAATGGCTTCTGTTCTTCCAGTGAAGTAATATAGTCTTCTTGGCTGGTGTGAACTGCTGTGTGACTTTAAGTGTAGACAGATCACCCAGAAGACACATGGATGAGGGCAAAGAAGGGATGCTGAAGCAGAGGATCTTTGATAGCTTGCTCATGACCTCCTGGACTGGAGTACTGAAAACGGGAAGCATGAAATAAGTCATTGGTTGAGTTTGGATACTGTTTTGTTATTTGTGAAGCCAATGCAGTACATTTTGTGGGTGGTGATATGAACTCTTGGCCCTTGTACTATATTAACAGATTTTTGGAGTTGCAGGTCATGGAAAATATCTTGTTCATGTGCTTTGCCAATTGATATTAAGTTCTGCTATGTTTAAGTCAGCTGGCCATTTGTCCATTGGAAGAGACACAATATTGTCTTGAGTGGATTAATTCAGTTTTTGACACAGTGAAGGAGTATGACTCTCAACATTGTGGATCCCAATAGTGTTTTAATGCTTTCTTTCAGTTGAATGTTGGAAATAACAATGGTCAGTTTTTTTTGTTTTTTTTTAAGAAAATCGAGGCTCATGTGCAAGCCATCACTAAGTAGGTGCCTTTGGCTGGCTACTCATCTCAGTTTCTATGCTTGTTTATTGTTGATAAGAAATATAGGGCTATGCCAAATTGGGGTTAGGGCAGTGGGGTGAGGATTTTAAATGGAATGTCTGGTTGGCTTTCCACCAGGCAAATAAAATATTTTTGATGGTGATGCTCTTAAATTAGTTTCTGCTGGTTTTTCTTTTATGGTCCATATCATAAGCAGGGCTCTACACTGACTTTTCCCCCCCAAAGAGTACATGTGTTTCTAAATGAAAAAATGTAGGAGCACACAAAGAAATTTAGTAGAACAGTGAACATCATTGTTCAAGTAAAAGAGTTTATTAACAAACTATTTATTATATACATATTTGTTCTAAATAAGTGTGTGTGTGTGTGTGTGCACTCCTTGTGTGCAATTATGATGTGAAAACCAGTGAAGACCATGGAAGTGAAGATCCTAGTATCTGGACACTAGTTAAGGGCATTAAAATATTGTCAAAGCTTTCCAAAACATTGAAACAGATTTTTTGAAAATGTGAACATTGAACAGCTGTCAAAACACGCTATGCCTAACTTCAATGCAATGCACGTGTTGATCAACCATATTAGGAATAACTGGAGCGTTACAAAAATGTAACTGCGTTTTGGATTTCTGGGTATATTACTCCATGTGTGACGGAACTGTCAAAAAATGATCAAAGCTGGAATATGTTTTGTGGTATGGAGAGAAATATGAATATTCTCTTATGCTTGGGTTGCATATTCTTTAATTATCTGTCAGTCCATAATCTGATATGCATTGCTTGATGAAGAATTTTTGGGAAGGTATGTTGGGTAAGGAGTAACATTATTATCATTTTTGCCATCATCAACAAAACATTTGTTGCTTTTCTTTGTTTTACATTGTTGTAAACTGGATATCAAACAAACAAGCAATTTAGAGAACTGATCTTGGTTTCCAGGAAATGGTGATGGGCAAGAACGATTAACTGATTAACCATACAGTAATAAAAGTTGGCTACAAACAGCGCAACTGTCATCTGCAGGGACATAAAATATGCATATACAGTACATCAGTCCCTCCAGGATTTTGCGATCACAACTATTAACACAAATCCAACAAATCCAATGAATTCAGCGCAACTTGCAATTTTGTCCAATCTTTTCCGCAAATTTTCCCGCAATACGTCAGCTTATCACTTCCTTGTTCACAAGACGCGGCAGACATGCATAACGTTTGCCGAAAAAAAGGGCTGTGAAAAACAATATCTAGATGATCTTCTTTACCAAAGCGGGGGTAAACTGTTTTGCAAAATGTATAATATTGTGGTCGAACATAAAAGGAAATCATCTATTCACAAACACGCAAAACATACACGGAGAATGGCAGAAATACACGGAGGACGTCAGACAAGACAAATCACTGTGACACTGGCTGTTGTATCCTAGTTAGCTGCAAATGCTGAAAAAATCAAGGTAAGTTTGTTATAAATATGCATTTTTAGGGTTAGGGTTAACATCACCACTTTAATTGCACTTTTTTAGAAAAGCTGCTGCAAAATCAGGCATTTAAGACCACAACAATTACTGGAGGGACAATCACATACGTATATACACAGGTACACTGTAAGAGCACAAAAACACACTTCAGGTTTGTGATAACAGAAACAGTGTCATTATTACCTAGTTTATTCAGCCAAGAACATCAAGTAGATTTTTAAACTCCCATAGCTTTCTGGACTAATGACTTTTTGATATCTCATTCATTACAGCCCCAAATATTGAGTGAATTTTCAACATAGGTAGCCAATTAAATAAGGCCCAGGTTAAGCTTAATATGGAAGTCCCATTCTTGGCTAAGCATCACAGGTAATGCAGCCACGACACGTGTGTGGTTATGTGCGGTAAATATGTATGATTATGAAGATGATTAAGAATACATGCTGCCTTTGTCGGATTGATGCAAAGAGGTCACTGTGCCTCAATCAATCCGCGTTTCTCTGTTCTCCAAATAATTGCCTTATGTTTCAATAATGAAAGTATAACATCTTTACAAGCTCTTCATTCAGGGGTGGGCCAATGCAAACTTTGTATTCTGTATGCATAATCCATGTATAAATATGCCTCACACCAGAAGGCCTGTGTGTTATGTGATTTGAGTGGGGGTCAGAGCCACTTGTATTCCTGTGGGTGGGATTGTGGAATTGCAGGCGATTTGATTGGAGCATTTTCCCTACACGAGGCCCTCCATAACTCCTATCTGTTGTTCCCCTTACTCATTTACTTTATCAGTGCACCGCTGTAATATACATAATTCAGACAACCGGGGAATGTCTTTGGGCTCCGAACCACCTGCTGGCTTTTATTAGCTAATTAATGGTGATTTATCAGAGCTCCTAATTTGAGTGGGGCTGCTTGCCTTCAGGAGTCTCAGAACACCGTATGAATTCTGATGGTAATTATGCTTATTTGATGGGCAGTTTGCTAAAACAAAAAGTTCTGTCTTTTCTGCCCCACAGGAATGGAATTTCTGTTCTTACGAAAGATGACCTTGTGTGATTTTTTTCCCTGTCTCATTACGGTCTCACACACAGTTCATTTTAATACTTAAATTCATTTTTACCTGTAGATGTGTGTCCTTGGGAAGGTCTTTTTTGATGTCCTTATGTTTCAAGTATATTTACTGTTCAAAGACTGCAAATTCACCTCAGGTTTGATAATGGATGTTTGGGAAGCCTTAAAGGAGAATATTAATATCAACATGCCCAATTTACAAAAGGCTCCAAACATTTACATTGCATCTGAATTTTTTAACAGTTACTTTGTTGTTCTTGACAGTGTTAAAAGTTAAAACTACTATCTCAATAAACAAACATGTTTAAAAAAGAAAAAAGAAGTTTTCAAGGATTATTTCCTGAAACAGAGACTTCTATTTCTTTTTGTGGGTGACAGATGACTCTTTATTAATGTGAAATATATTTCAATTTGAAAAATCCATATGTGTGATAAATAAATATTTTTTATCAGCGTGTCTTCTGCCATTTCTTTATTTCTGAGTAGTGATTAATTTGATTTCAGCAACCAAATCCCAAACCATCATTGGAAACACACATCCTTACTACTATGCAGTATAAAACATACTTTCCCAATGACAGGTTTTTCTATGTATCAATATAGTGTCTGCTGGGACCTTGACTTCCTCAAGGCAAACTATGCTGTGTGGCTCCTCCTGGTAACCTATACCCAGGAAGACGACAAAGTTGCAGTGTGTTGCAACAATTAGTGAACATTTTAGACATCTTATATTCACAATGGAAGTATACATGTGAAGACTGCTAGTTCAGATTTGAACATTTTTTTTGTAATACCAAAAATAAATAAGCAAATGACTCAAAGTTAAATTAATAACATTTTAAAATAAGGTACATTATTAGGGGTTTACAAGTTGTCAGTCATTGAAGTTCTGTCTTTTCTGCCCCACAGGAATGGAATTTCTTTTCTTACGAAAGATGACCTTGTGTGATTTTTTCCTTTGTCTCATCACAGTCTCACACACAGTTGATTTTAATACTTAAATTCATTTTTACCTGTAGATGTGTGTCCTTGGGAAGGCCTTTTTTGATGTCCTTATGTTTCAAGTATATTTACTGTTCAAAGACTGCAAATTCACCACAGCTTTGATACTGGATGTTTGGGAAGCCTTAAAGGAGAATATTAATATCAATATGCCCAATTTACAAAAGGCTCCAAACATTGCATCTGAAATTTTAACAGTTACTTTGTTGTTTTTGACAGTGTTAAAAGTTGAAGTTACAAAAAACTACATACTTAAACTTTGCTGGTCATCAACAAGTTACAATAATGGTTAAATTTAAATGCTTTTGGGTTGTTCAGGGCCCACATTTAGACATAGTCTAAAAGTAGCACCTCTGACATCTTTTAAAGGGACTTATTAAAGTTGGCGTTTGCTTTCCTGCTCACTAGTTGTTTGGAGCGCACAAAAAACATGTGGTTGGAGCTGAGGATGAGAAAGTGGCTACCACAGTAGAGTGAAAGCCTCTCATTCAAGCAAACATTCTCCCAAATAAGCTTACTCTGTGAGCCGTAAGGCCTTGTTGTTCTGATTGATTTGAGTGTAACCAGACAGTAAGAAGCTGTCTTTGTGTTTGCATGCATGTTGGCGCAATATGAATTGTACACAGCACACCTATGGCATGGAGCGATTTGAAATATTGATTTGTTTTAACTTGCTGAACGTGTGTTCTTTAATGTAGCATGACATACATAATTCATCTGTGAACCAACTAATCACCTACCTGGCTAAATTAGTGCGACATCTCAAAATGCTAATGTTTACCTCTTATGAACAGTGACAAATAGAGTCTTACACACTTTAAAAGGATAACCATGCATAAAGCTTAATTTTGTAAATTATATTAGTTGCCAAACACCAATTATTTGGCCGTATTTATGGTTTGTGTTGCCTAATCAGTGCAGTCATTAATTGGCATTGCTAACTAGCTGCATTGCTAGAACAGCAAATTATTATTCTTGATAATTGAGTAAGACATCAGTTACATTTGGTGGACTAA